GTCCACAGAATCCTAAGTAGAAACTGACAATATAAATGATACAGTCACAAATATATTCATCTACCTAAGAAACCGCCTCTTTCCTTCATATACTACCACCAGTGTTATGACTGATGCAGGTACTGTGGGTAACAGGCCTCTGGCTTAAAAGGGAGGGCAGCTATGAAGGATCCATGGTCATTATTCTGAGCACTCTATTTTCCAAGACTCTTCCTGAAAATACTGGTTGAGATCGATAAGATGCTATAGCAGGGAAGGCTAAGTTATGGTAGGTTGATTAATGATGACATATTTTGAAATATGGGGATCATGTTTGGCAAGGATGGGCAAGTCTTTTTATTATGAATACTAATCCTTTTTTATGTCAAAATATTTGAAAAAGGTATTTTGATTATGTTGGCTATTCCAAACTCTATTTCATTAAACCGGTAGCTATCTGTAACACTTTTATTTGAATAGTGAAAAATAATACAGGCGCTTAACTGCAAATTTCTAGACAATAATTCTTAAAATCAAATGTTTGTTGTTTCAATTGTTATAAGAAAACAAATGCTTCTGGGCTCAGTGCTTAGAAAATAGGTTAAGAAAGTACTAATTTTAAAACACTGTGTTTTAAAATGAACATATATTTAGGATCACATTTTAAAATGGTCCTCCAATTTTGGGCTGGCAGTCAACTGCAAGCACATGGGAAGGCAAACAATAGTACAGATTACAACTACCTTATCATATATGTAAATCAGGTAGTTAACTATCGAATTCTTTACTGTGCCAAGAATTTACTGTGTGTATAAATCTAGAGGCTAGATTACCCTTCATACTCTTGGCTGTTAAAATATTTTTATATTGTGTTAAGTATATGGAATTTTAATATTTTACACATGAAGGGCAAGTTTCAGCGCTCTCTGTGTTCTACCACTGACAAGCAGAAGATGAATTAATTTGCCTTTATAATTTCTCCTATTTGGATGGCAATATACTTCAGCTGCCTCCTCCCAACTATCTTCCTTCCCTTTCTTACCCTACCTCAAACCCATCATGTAGTGGCAAGAATATCTTGCCCTCTTACCAGTGCGATGGTGGCTTCGCACTTCCCACTGCCTCTCCTACAAGTTCACCCACGGTGCCTACTTTACATCTCTCTTACTTCTCTCACTCCTGCCTCCCCAATATTGATTTTTGGACTGAGCTATTAGTGACGAACAGCAAAGAGGAGGCCAACAACTCAATTTGGCTGGAACTTGAGCCTCTGTAAACTCCTGGGCATCTGCTCACCAAGTCTCTAAAAATCCCTCTCTAAAAATCCCATGGAAATAAGTCAGTTGACTCATGGCTGAACAGCACTTATTTATCTTAAATAATTAGAAGCTTTATAAAGAATTATTTGGGGGTGAGGGAATGACTAACTGCTATTACTCTAAAGTGATAAATTAACCATTAAATATTAAAATTCCACCTCTTGAGTAGATATTAATTAATGAGTTTCTAATGTCCAAATGCTAAAAGAAACTAACTCCTGATTGGTCACAATCTGGTCATTAAAGAGTGGTAATTACTGACAGATTGCACACAGTGCTAACCAACAAAACAAACTAAAACCTGCTCTTCTTTCACAAACATTGAAACAAACAATTCTGAAATAACGGCAGCTTTCAAAGGATAGTTACAGCTTTTCAGAAGCACCTCAGCTAATGAGTGTATAGAAAAGAATGTATCTGAAGAAGAAGAAAGTAAAGCTAAACAGCCTTTCAGGCACATGAAACCAGCTCAGAAAAAAACTATGAGATGTGGCAGCAGCTACTTAAGAAGAAAATTCAACTGAAAATAATGTACAAACAGTTCAGTTCATAATCTTAGTAATGTATTTTTCTCAATCCTGCCATTTACTGCTCAGATCATGTTGAGAGTTGAAGGCTGGAATGAAAATTCCTCTAGTAGTCTAGTTAGTCATTTTAAGTATGATCATGACCTTAAACCTTAAAATCATATATTACTGCTAATTTCATATTGTAGTTACTCTAGAATCAGTTATGAGAAAGTAATATATCGTCTTTGAGAAGCCATGTGTACTTCTGCAGGGATTCCATTGTAATTCACCAATAATACCACAAGCCATTATTTTAAAATGTTATCAAATTTCTCAAAATACTATGCTGAAATAAACGGACCAAACAGAAATTTTAATATAATGGAAAAAAGTTAATTTTAGACAACCTAATGTAACTTTCTATATTATATTTTAATAGACTGTTATTGAGGAGTAACACTTCAGAGCTGAATACAGCTGCCTTATTTCTAATTAGCTTGTTTGCAAGTAATACAACTATTCATGTTAAAAGGTTAGCAGACATTTTTATTTTGCCTTAATATTTTGAATAAACACTGTAAGCTCTCAAACAAAGGATGGTTGTCAGGTTCTTTGCATGTAATCTAAGTTGGCAATGTTCTACTTTAGTTTTATAAGTCACTGTGATAAGGTTAACACTTCTACACACAACTACATACAAATAAGAACTCACAAAGATGAAAATTACTTTGCTTATGTTGCTGTATTAGAATTTTATTTGCTAAAGGGTAAAAACAGATTTGCAAAATTCACAGTTAACTTAAAACAATAGTTTAAAACCTTTTATTCTAAGCCCTGACTGCCTTCAGGAGGGAGAGAACATCTGGTTATTTAAGGAATACAATATGTTCACATTTTCTATGACTTTTATTTCTAATTGGGTTTTTTAATTTTTTTTATTTGAGCAACTCTAGTTAGAACTATGTTTTTTAATCACTTTATATTCCTCTGACTGCCCTCCTTCAACATCTCTACTTCATGTAACAGTATCTGCTTTGAAAATTCACAGCACCACCCAACAATGGTGGTATGAAAAAATGGAAAAAAATAGGTACTTTGGAGTGCTGTATTCAGAGAGACACCTCAAATCAATTCTTTTGGGTATTTTACAAGAATAATTTTCTACTGTTGCCCTAATCTCTCACTTAACACTCACATGCTTTTAATTGCCCCTTCTTTCATATCAAGTCAGCTTTCACTTAACTCTTTCTATTCTGAAAAAAAACCCCTAATTGACTAGATATCCCACTGACAGATATAATTGAGAAAATATTTTATTAAAGAACTGGAAATTTGGAATAAACGCTTTGCTAAGTGAGTTCACAGTGCAGTCCTGGAGTGGGGGCAATAACATCGATTTCAAATTTCAAGTCTCAGAGAAGTAACCATGCTAAGTCTGCTATTTTTATCAATGTTGGGGGCCTTTTGCTTTCCCACTGCCAGAGTCTTCTCATACAGCAAGTCAGATTCCAGCGGAAGTGAAAGGCACTGGCATTTCCTCAATGCTGGAGCCTTTCTCTTCTGCTTCTCCTTGCCAGATCCTTTCACTATAACATGGAGCTCTACACACAGAAGGGTGGACTCCAATGTGTAGCTACTCATACCCTACATGCCAACACCTCAAGAGCACCTGTGAAGATGCATGCATGCAACTGAAGTCTCATGAGGCTAAGAATGGGTGGATCGTGTCATTAGTTTGTCAGCTTCCATCTACTGAACACCGGAAAACAACTAAGGGGGAAGTCAGGGGTGTGGGATGTAGGCGCCATCTCTTAGTAGTAAGATCTACACACACACACACACACACACATGCCAATTAATATAAAATTAAACACATTTAGGTATGTGCACATTATGAATTTTTAAACATTAAATTAGTTTTGTGTACCAAAATTTTTTTGGTTGAATTAAAAACATGCCATATTCAATTTGATGGCTTAGCACAATTTATTCCCTTCCACAAAACATTTTCTCTTTAAAAACATTTCTGCTATGTTTTGAAAAGAGAAGGCTAGAACGTAAATGCGGAATAGTTTGATTTCACAGTCTGCTGCTTAAATCTTAAAAAATCTTACTACTACAAACTTTCTTAAGTGCCAAGGAGATGACGGATTCTACTTCTCATCCTGAAAGAAATCTATGCACAAAAGGAATGAGGCAAGCAGCTGAGGGGACACAGATTTCTGCAGAAAACTGACACAAACAATGAGACAATTTTTCTTAATCTATAAAAGAATACATGTCAGACTCTTATGGCATTTTGGAGAAGGCAGTCACCAAGTGATAAAAGTGCAGAATTTTTTCTATTCAAAGGTGACTTGAAGGAAGATACCTAGACTGTCCATTGGCAGCTTAGTGACATGACAAGCTCAGACAATTCTAAAGCTGGCAGCAACTTCTGAGAACTGTTAAGGATCCAGATACCAAGAAGACTGTCATACACAACATTACCTCAAATACTTTATTTAAAAAATTAGGCTAGCTCTAAAATTGCAGAGGCTTTTTTTAAAATGTAGATTAATAAATTGATTTATGTCAGAAACGTTACATTACTAAAACAAAAACACTTTAACGAGAACAAATAAAATCTGTGTGAAACTTTGCAGACTATAAAAGAGGGGATTTCATCTTTAATTTAAAAAAAAAACCTATGATATCCTACTACATTTGGATGCTACTGACATCTGTCTAGCTCACAGACTTAATACATGAATTGTGTCATTACTTCTTATGTTATCCAGGGGAAAATCTATATCTATATCATCTATACCTATACTTATATCTATATCCCTGTACTTATATTTTGCCATGTGGTCCTCTGCCAAGAATTCCAAGGATGAATTACTGACACATGGGGAAAACTTTTACTAAGTAGTTACTTGATTTACTCAAGCTGTTTGCTTAGAGCACTGACAAAACTTTAGGTCTGGGGAACCCATATTTTAATTTCACCAGACAATTCTCCTCTTGAGTAACTGTGCATACTATCCCATCAATCAGGAAGAATATCGCAGTTTCCAGAAGTAGCTCCTTGGAAAGTGCTTCCCTGTCGTTCATATAGAATACTGTGTGTCTAACTTTTTGTAGCAGTTGGAATGTTTTACAAAAGAGGTTTATTTCCTGTGCTGGTAATATTTAGCAATGTGTACCTTACCTTTGGATCTCGGAGAAACAGTGCTCTTAGGATGAGTGAGTGTACATCTCCTATAGGTGGGTAATGCATCAGAAGTCCCAAACATGTCTGATAATTACTTGAGATCACTAAAATAAAACAAACAAAACAAAATAAACAAATAAATGGGGAGAAATATACACACATATATTTGGATCTTCAAAGGAAACTTTTTTTCATCCTACACACCTATCATGGGCAAGAGTTCAGCAGTCCTTTCTCATGACGAGTACAGACAGACCCTCAGAATTCAAAAAACAGGACTATGTAGCACTTTAAAGACTAACAAGATGGTTTATTAGGTGATGAGCTTTCGTGGGCCAGACCCACTTCCTCAGATCAAATTGTGGAAGAAAATAGGCATGACCATATATACCAAAGGGATACAATCAAAAAAAAGTGAACACACATACAAAGGACAAATCAAATTTCAGAACAGAGGGAGAATGCGGGGGGAGAGGGGTAAATGTCTGAGAGCTAATGATATTAGAGGTGATAATTGGGGAAGCTATCTTTGTAATGGGTAAGATAATTCGTTTCTTTGTTAAGACCCCAGCATAAAGTGTCAAATTTAAGCATGAATAACAGTTCAGAGGTTTCTCTTTCAAGTCTGGTGTTAAAATGTCTTTGAAGAAGTATGCAGGTAATCAAGTCGTTGAGACGATGCCCCTTCTGGTTGAAATGGCAAGAAACCGTTTTTTCTTTGTGATACTGTCTGATATCCGTTTTGTGTGCATTGATTCGTTGGCAAAGTGTCTGAGACGTTTGTCTAATGTACATAGCAGAAGGACACTGTCGGCACATGATGACATAAATTATGTTTCTGGATGAGCAGGAATATGTGTTCTTGATCTTATAACTGAATTGGTTAGGTCCAATTGAATACCCAGAAACCATCTACTTCAAGACAGACCCAAGAAAACCAACAATAGAACACCACTTGTCATCACCTACAGCCCCCAACTTAAACCCGTCCTACACATTATCAGTAAACTACAACCTATACTAGAACAAGATACTACACTCCGAGAGGCTCTGGGAGACAGACAAATAGTCTCCTACAGACAATTACCTAACCTCAGGATGATTCTTACCAACAACTACAGGACATACCACGCTAGTACCAACCCTGGAACTTTTCCTTGCAACAAACCCCGTTGCCAGCTTTTTTGTTTAATACAAGGAGTGATTACAGAATAAAGCCTTACTTTGATCCTGTGCCCATGGAAGTCAATGCTAAAGTTTCCACTAATTTGAAGGGGGAACGCAGATTCACTGTGTAATTAATTATGTTCTCTTTCATGAAGAAACACTTCTCCCCCAACTATTCTTTACTAAAATACACTGTATGCGCTTCAAATATATATTATTAAATAAACAGACATCTAGCATTTCTTGTTTTCTTAGTTTATATAAGAACAGCCATACTGAGTCAGGCCAAAGGTTGATCTAGCCCAATAGCCTGTCTGTTGACAGTGGCCAATACCAGATGCCCCCGAGGGAGGGATCACAATAGCTAATCCTCACGTGACCCCTCCTCTGTAACCTATCTCTAGAGAAACAGAGACTAGGGACATTATTCTACCTATCGTGGCTAATACCCATTGATGTACCTAACCTCCATGAATCTATCTAGCTCTTTTTTTAACCCTGTTAAAGTTCTAGCCTTCACTGCATCCTCTGGCAAGGAGTTCCACAGGTTGACTGTGTGCTGAGTGAAGAAAAACTTCCTTTTGTTTGTTTTAAATCTGCTGCCTATTAATTTCATTTGGTGACCCTTAGTTCTTATATTGTGGGAATAAGTAAATAAATTTTCCTTATCACTTTTTCCATGCCAGTCATGATTTTATAGACCTCTATCATATTCCCCCTTAGTTTCCTTTTTTCTAAGCTGAAAAGTCCAAGTCTTTTTAATCTCTCTTCATATGGGACCTATTCCAAACCCCTAATCATTTTTGTTGTCCTTTTCTAAATCTTTTCTAATGCCAATATATTTTTTTTGAGATGAGGCGACCACATCTGTATGCAGTATTCAAGATGCTTTTATATATATTAAAAACCTATTTTGATAAGACTTCATTTAACAATCTGTGAAGTATTTAGGTCTCTGCTGTTCATATTCCTACAATGACCTGTTGAAGATTCCCAGAAAAATGCTTCAAAATACTGAGCAACAACTACAGATTCTGTATTCTTGCTTTACTTTTAAATTACCTCTTGAATTTTGTGATTTGCACAGGAGACGTTTATCAGTCTGCAATTCATCTCCCATTGTAAATAGATGTGTACATTTCCATCCTAATCTAAGTACACTGTATAGTTCTTTGCTCTCTTACTCTCACTCTCTCTCTTTGGCAAATCAACCTAATTATGAGTGCAATTATTAAACATATCTTTTCAGGCAGGTCTACGTAAACTATTTCATTTCTTTTGCACTAGCTAAATTCAGGCAATCCATCTGCTACAGCTGTCAAAGCAGTGCCTATTAATGATGCTTATCCTGCCCACCATACAGACTGCCTCAAACAACACTAACTGTAAATAAATTGTAAAGAAACTTTATTGCTTTGAGAACTTTATAAATCAGAATCCTAAGTGAGAAAATATCCTTGTAGAACATACAAAGTTACTCTGATAAAACAAATACCAAAAAAATATTGTTTTGTAACCATGCATATTTACCAGTCTGATAATTTTCTTTCATGTGAATAAACCTCATTTCCTCCTTTACCTCTCCCCTCCCATCATTCTCCCTCACCCCTATACCATCCCCTCCTGTCCCCCTGCCCCAGATTATGGGGAAAAATACAGAACTGGGCAAAATGAATAATTATAATCTGTGTAGAGAACCACTTTATCATCTTCATTTCCGTTGCTGATCCGACAGCTTGTAATTTCATACATCTGCTTTCATTTGTAAAACATTCACTTATCCTACTCATTCTTTATCTGTTCTGCCTCTTCTTTGTCTATCCTTTTGTTTTTCTTGTTCACATTTAGATACCTGTTTTTTTTTCTTGAAGTAAAAAAGGTACTATAATGAACACAGTACAATAATCTCAGTCAGAAGTTCTTTCAGATGACTATAATACAACTACTACATATTATATAACCAATCAAAATTTCAGATTTAAATGCACTGTACAGCAGTTACGATTAGGATACTTTTTATTTTAATAGCAAAAATAAAACTGCTGAAATGTATAGTAAATTCGAAATACTTCTATAAAATATAGCATTTAAACTAAAGTATTTCCATTTTGAATACACCAGCCTATCTTTTACTTTGGAAATAAAACAGGATTAAACCTCCCTCTTCTTTTCCTCCCTTGGGAACTTGGAGGAAAATTTTTTGGCTGATTTTAGGCACTGGAGAAAATGAGCAAATAGGGAAAAAATATTTCAATAATGAAGATTCAAACATTAATAACATTGGTATTTCTAACTATAACAGAATTACAAAAATCCATGGAATGAAATCCCTCAGGAACGAAGGACCATCACAAACCTCATTTAATTATACTCCAATTGTAAGTGTATAGCAACTGGTATGTTTGGGTCTTCAACACAAAAACCATACTAAAAAACACTTAACTGAACACGCTTCTTCCTCTGGGGACAGGATGAGGAATAAGCAACACATGACAGATGTGCACTACGGAAGGTACTTAGACATTGCTATGATGAGAGAGGTATAAAAATTGATCTAGAATACAGTAGACGGGTAGGCTCATCAGCAGTATAAATACTTTTCACTTATATAATATAGGGCCTGTGCTACATAGATCTGAAAGTGCCTTTGTCATTCATCTCTACCCCCAGACACACAAGTCTCCTTGGTCCTTGATCCTTGGGCTTCTCCCCTTGTAATCACCTGCCTGTACTCTTTTTCAAGACATCTTAATGGGAGAGAACACCTCTGCTCGGGTTCTGTCTGATCTAGACTCTGAGTAAAGAGGCTGCTGAAATTCTCTTTAGATCCTTTCCTTAGAGAGTCTGATGTTTCTTTAGGGCCAAGTATGTGAGCTACCCTAGGCAGCTGTAGTCTTCTCAAAAAGATTTATTAAAACAGAGAAGAAATTATATTGAAACAAAAGAAATGGTTTGCTTAGCAAAACTCATCTGAAAACATTGTCAAGTGCAATAAGATTAGGATTACTGGGTGTCTGGTTTTCAATGGGAATGCCCTGTCGAAAAGAAACTATTTTACACTTTTTTTTTCCAGTGTTTCCTTTATTTTTCTGCACCCCTAAGCAAAATGAATTTTGCACCAATATGATGTGATGTGTGACACATCACTATCATATTGATGGAGATAAGAAAATGCAGGTTGTAGGGGGTGGGATCAAGGGGTTCATAGCATAGGAAGTGATTCAGGCCTTAGGCAGAGGGTTAGAGTGCAGGAGTGTGAGCTCTCCAGCTGGGTGTGCGGGCTCAGGTCTGGGGCAGAGAGATGGGTGAAGGAATGTGAGGGCTGTGGCCGGGGGTGCAAACTCTGGGATGAGGCTGGGGATAAAGCTGGAAGAGAAGATGGGGATTCGGGAATGTGAGGGCACTGGCTAGTGGGCAGGCTCTGGGGTGGGGCTAGGGATGAGGGGCTCAGGGTAGAGGTGTGGGTTCTAGGGTGGGGCCTGGTTGAAGGGTTTAAGTGAAGGAAATTGCTCCGTGGCTCCTGTGAGGAGAAAGGACTTCCTCAATCTCTCTATCCTGGCAGCAGCACATGGGCTGTGGGGAAAGAGGGGATGGGGAGTGAGGGAAGCATCTCTCCCCACAACCCAGCAGGTTCCAGCCAATGCTGGGTTGCAATTGGGGGAGGGCCGTCCCAGCTGTGCCAAATGCTGGCATGTGGCTAGGTCCGGTCCGGTCCGGTCCAGGCCAGGCTAGGCCAGGCCAGGCCAGGCCACGGAAGGGAGACTCCATGGCTGGGCTGCCTAGGCTATGACGGGGACTCCCGGGCCGGGCTGTGGTGGTGCTCAGCTGTGATAGGAATGTTCTGGCATGTCCAGGCCACCCTGGCTGCAGCTGGGTTCAGCTAGGGTTGCCAGATGGTTTCAACAAAAATACTAGACACACTTGACATTACATCACA